ATATGTGTATAAATGTTTGTCTTATTGTTCAGTTCACAGCAATATTGCTTTGATTGTCTACTCTAATATACTCCATGGTTTATATGACAATATGCATATTCTACTGCTCATATTCTCGAATATCATTCAAGGTTCACTTATCTTGTACAAATATATCTCCATACACCTTCTTTACAAACTTTGCTGATGATGGGCTAAGTTTAATCTGAATGTTCAATGTAAATAAAATGCTTTTCATTCTCACCACATGTTATTGAATTCAGTACAAATTTGTTTTTCCCTGCAAAAATAATCCTAACTAAATTCAAAAGTTTAAACATAATTTATAATCTACACATTTGTAAAAGTTAAGGATTATGTCACAGCATGTTCATGTTCTTATGTCCCATGGAAAAGGTTTCAAACTTCCAGAGACTAGATGATGAATGTTTTAAATATAAATAAGATATTCTCTAAACCTGTCACACAATCTCTATAATGTATAATTGTTTTTTTTGTTGGGTGTCATTTAAAAGCCAACAGAAAATCAACCAAGCCAACAATATTAAGAATAATGATGACTGGCATTTGAGTATTACCAAGTTAAAACTTAATTTTTGTAGTACTAACATGGATATTTCTTCAGATGTTTAAACAGATATTCCAATTGCAAAAATAACATTACATGTTATGATCCTCTTTAACCAACAGAAGATAAAAAATTAGAAAACAACCCACAACAGGCTTTCACTACCTGACACTTTACTGCCATGTTGAAATCATTCAAGTAAACTTAAATAACATGTACATTATAACTAATAATCCTAAAAAAAGAAAGACATGCTTTATCCATTCTGAAAACCCAAATGGGTGTTACGATTAAACCGGGAACAACAAAAATACAGCTGTTGTTGTTTAGCAAAAGGACATCTACAGTTAAAAAAACCAACAGACAGCTAGTGGCACTAACTTCAACACAATCTTCTTGACAACCATAGGATCTTTTGAAAAATAATATTTTGCTTACATTACAGTCACTAGTTACTTACCTTAATAAACATAATCTCTATAAACAAGTTCTAAATTTTGTTTATCATCGCTTTTATTTTTAATTTCAGTTGTGACAGAATAATAATAATAAACATTCTAAACATTTTTACATTTAATGTGTATTTGGATCATGTTTCTTTAAACAAGGTTTCTTATGTTCTTTCCAACCAAACATTTATGCTTGCTAGCTAAAACCTATAAGGGTATTTGCCAAAGGCATAGAGAGAAATCATAGGTTTTCTTTGATAGGTTGTTTAGGCAGAATATTCAAAATGAATCTAAGTTTCAAATGGACAGCAACTGCCAGTTGCTAGAAACCTTACAAATGTAGAGGACGACGTTTCGAAAGTCTTCTGCCTTTTGTCTTCAGGTCCATTTGAAACTTAGATTCATCTTAGTTTTATTACAAAAAATGATGCAATCACACAAATTTTAACATTTTCTTTCACTGAAAATGTATTTCCGATAAGTACTTACCTCCTTTCACATAAAACCTATCTCGATCATTGTCTGCCCTCCAAGCATTGCTAAAGAATTTTTAGTAATCAGTGCTCCAGTCTTTATACCCCACCAGTTTTGCACCATTTCTGAACATGTACACATCATGTGACTGCTCTCCATCACCTATTGTGCCACCTATAACAGTGCAGCTAGCTCCCTCATCTATTCCTGCTCAATCCTCACTTTTGAGAATTGACAGGTACTAGAGTAAACACAGGTTTTAGTGGGGAGGAAGGATGGGAAGTGTGTGAGATGAGGTATATGCCTATAGAAATTCATTTTCAGTGTAAGAAAATGTTAACTTCTGAAACACTTACTTCCTCTCACACAAAAGCTAGAATCCCACTTTGCAAAGGTGGAGGGCCAGTGTAGTTGCACAAAAAACAAACCAAGTGGAAAGTGATCGCCCAGAATTAACAAGTGTGGGGTACAACACTACTACTGGAATAGGTATGCTCTTTCTCCAGGAATGAGGAAAGGAACACCAAATGGGCAGAAAAGGTAGTGCTTGCATGATTATAAAATTGTTAAGATGATGCAAGCTGTAGCAACATATAATGAGAAAAAAATGTAATAGCAACAAATGGCTAGGGCATGTGGACTGTGTTATTGATACCCAACAACCCCAACCATAAGTAAACACAGTGTCGTACGCCAAGCCATAACCAGATAAACTCCCAAAACCACTGTGGGAGCAAGAAGTACAACAAACCAAAGCCAGCGTTCAAACTATCAAAACATACCAAGTAAACAAAGGACTGAAAAACATGACATGGGCAAAATATCAAAATTTTTCTAGTCCACAAAGAATATAAAAATAACGAACATGCTAACTGACAGAAATTCCCGAGAATACTCAATAATAAGCAAAATATAAGGTACCAGACAGAGAAAGTAACCTAGACAATAAGAACATAGAATTAAGACCTTCACTGACTAAAACTAGGAGGAGAAGGTAACTTAACAATGACGAAAAAAGTATTCAAAGTAAACAAAGAATTAGTTGTTATTAGTAGTAATGATATGGAAAGTACAAACTAACCAAACATACCCAACTAACAAAGTACTTATATATGAAATGGACAAATTATCTAAATATACCCAGTCCACAAAGAATATTTTAAAAAAACGAACATGTAAATAATCAATATCTAACATACAATTCCACAAAATTAACCGAGAAGACAATGAACATGCAACGAAGTCCAACACTGACGTAACTGAGGTTGAGAAGGCACATAGTTAACAAATACGTCAAAAAAAATCCAAATAGAACAATGAATTATATGTTACTAGTAGTAATGATAAGTAAGTTACAATCTATCGAAACATACCAAGTTAATAAAATAATTATAAATAGGAAACGGACAAACCATTTAAATGTACCTAATCCACAAAATATGTAATAATAACAAATGATCAAACCAACAAAAATTACCTAGAAAACACCTGAATAAGCAATAAGTAATTTACCATACATTGAAGTTAACTAACTAACAAAATACATAAAATTAATGAATGAGCATAACAATTAAATTTATTGAAATTACAAAGAAATATTCAATATTTAACATCTAATTAAACTAAACTAACATAGATAACAAAGTACAACTAAATATCTAACAGATGACGTGAAATACATATGTATCCCATGTGTAAAGAAGGGTAAACCAAGCCTACCATGGATTTATCAACCTGATGTGAAGTGTACATGTTGAAAGACTTACCACAAATCTCTGGGAAGAACTTGAAGCTAGAGGAAGATAAAATGAGAACAAGTCTTCCCCCACATGAAAGATGTGGTGGGTGGCAACTGGGGGAAGGTGCCTGAAAAAGGAGAGACCAAAATGGCAACTCATTGAGTGTCTTCTTCCTCAGAAACAGTATCATGTTAAAAAGAAGAAGGAAACACCGACCGACCATAAGACTCTAAGTTCCTGCGAACCAAGGCATGTACTTCCTCAGTAAATATAGTCCACCCCGTGTCCTGGGAAATCGTGCCATGTGCATTGTCGCCTGTCGTGATAATATCGTCTGCCATAGAAAACCTCATATTCATACTAAAACATGTAGAATTTGGGAATGAGAAAAATTTCAAATGCAAATCCTTGGAAACAAATAAAATCAAACATGAGAATTATAAATTGTTGAATAACCTTCATTGGAAACGGAAACAAAACACAATCAAAAACTGTGGTCACATTCAGAAAAACTAAATAAATGTCCAAACTTCATCATGCCAATCAAGAAAGTGAGGATTGCATGAGAATAGAAGGAGCTAGCTGCATCATTATAGATGGCACAATACTATTGGTGGAGAGTAGTCACATGATATGTACACATGCACAAATGGTCTGAAACTGGTGGGGTATAAAGACTGGTACACTTATTACTAAAAAATCTTTTAGCAATGCAGACAATGATTGAGATAGCTTTTGTGTGAGGAAGGTAAGTCCATTTCAGAAATTAGTGTTTCTTTTATTTTGAATTTTTAAAAAATATATGAAAAATGGAGGACTTTGTCTTACATGAAGCAGCATCATTTCAGTTTGTATATTGTCAAGATAACGCCTTAATTAAACATTTAATAAGTAGTTAACTCGACTTAAAGTGGCATTATCAGTTCTATTTAATTTTTACTTTTTTACATATTATTTTATATGTAGTTGTTAATATATGCATGCAAGTATATTATAAAACAGTACAAATATAACCAATCTATAACGCACAGAATTCATCCTTTAAAAAGTTAATTTAAAAAACAACAACTAAGCAATGAATCACATAAAACAGTTAAAGTACAATGCCTACATGATGTATAGGCACCCTCAACTGATAATAGTTTGGTAGCTTTTGGAGGGAAATCTACATACATTTTTGATGGGGCTGGCAGATAGCCTATACGTATTGGAAGTAAGTGACAATGACCTTCAGTTTTGTTTATAAAACAAGCACACATAGAAGATGGTTATAATCCAAAATAATTACTTACTTCACACTTTAGTTTATTATTAAAGCTATTTCAGTACTCACTCACTATATTAATTTTCTTATCTACTTGATTACAGTAATATGATAATGTCAATAGATTACTTATATATTCTGACAACTACCACAGTTTCCTTTCATTGTGTTTTATGGGTGATATTCTTGAGAGCCCTACCTATATCAAATGAATTAATTTGTAAAAAAATCTTTAAAAAATCAGAACTATATCTCTGATTAAGCACTAGAAGACATCTTCTGATAATAATATAATGATAAATGAATATCATGTGTCTATGCAATGATATAAACAACTTGGATTAAAAAGTATTTTTCTGGACATCCAATGTAAGGTATAAACCATAACAAAAATTACTACAGCTGAATATAAACATGTTAAAAGTAAATAACTATACATGTACGTTTCATTTTAATAGAATTTTAGCTTAATACAACTCATACGTAATTTTAAAAAATGTTACTGCAATAAGAATCCTTTCCACAGACACTTTACAAGCAGAATATAGACAGGGAATACTACAGATATGTCCAACTACAGTATACAGTACATTATTCATACAGTATATATGAATAAACACTTAACAGTGAAAGAAAGGCCAATTTTACAGATCAATCTAAACAAATTACACATACTTACAAATGATTCATGTCTAAAAATAGTACATGATTGTGATCATCAACTGTTACTTGTTAATTCTGATACAAGAGTTACACACATATTGCAGGTTGGCATATGATAAGCTGTATTAGACGCTTGATGTTGCTGATGATAATCTTGACTGATCCTTTTCTATATCATTATTAAAGTTATCTTGAACTGAAGACTGAACCACCATGGGCAAACTGTCTTTCTCCTGGTGCCTTGATAACTACTGTTAAAATACAGGTGCCGATAAATTGGACCCATGAATGACTGTAATCCATTTGCAGGTGCATTTGTTGGTATGGTGACATTTTCTGATTGTATGGCTGAACACGTAGAAATCATGCACTGAGAATTTTCCATTGCTTCAGACTTGGCTGCTTCAAGAGCTTGACTGTTACTCTTTAAAGTACTTCCATAACTTGATACTGGAGGGGACAGTGAAAGAGGAGAAGTTGAAGAAAATGCAGGTAAACCTGACAGTTGATCATTCTCTGCATTAGATGATATTATGTTTTTAGCTGTAGAGAAGCCAGCTTGTGAAACAGCACTGTTAATTTTTGCTTCACATCTCTCTTCCACTTTACAGTGATGGAAAAAGTGGTCTGACTTTGCTAAAAAAGCACGGCCACAGTTTGTACAAGCAAAATTAGCCCGAGCAGTCTCATGACGCTTCATGTGTAGTTTCAGGTTCCTTTGATTTCCAAAAGGTTTATCACACATTGAACAGAAGAAAGATTTACCTAATCGGTGAGTGGTGAGATGTTGATGCAAATTTCCCTTCAATGTAAATGTTTTTGAACAGAACTGACATCCATAAGGTTTTTCAACACAATGAGAACTCATGTGACGAACTAACTCAGCTTTTATTGAAAATTCCTTTCCACAGTAATTACACACCTGTGTATTAAGTCCAGGAGGTTTTGACTGCTCATGTGTCATTTTCACATGCTCACGTAATTTAGCCACTGTAGAAAATGTTTTAGAACATTCAGAACAAAAGGAAAAACCCCTTTCTGGTGGTGACTGAGCTGGATTAAAATGTGACCCACTTGAAGAAGTTTGAGCATGAGATGTAGAAAGAGAAGTAGATAAGTTAACTGCTAAAGTATCACTGTCATCTCCTTCAGTTGAAACTTTTGTAGATGAAAGTGCATTTTCTTGCTTAGAATGACCTGGTATCTCTAACTGAGCAGAAATAGATTGTACACTAGAGTAAGTGCTTTGTTGTTGCACTCCACCATAAGCTATACCATAAACATTAGCTAAACTCTGAAATGCCTCAAAAGGTGCTGCATTTTGTTTTCCCAAACCAGGTCCTTTACCAGTGTTCTTGCCTGAAGGCTTTTCCCTGTTGTGAGTTCTTAAATGTTGGGTCAGATTTCCTTTAAGAGCAAATTTTCTTCCACAAACTATACATGCATGAGGTTTCAGCCCACTATGAATTAAAATATGTCTGCTCAAATCTCCTTTCAAGCTAAACCTCTTACCACAAGTTGAACATTCATAAGGTTTTTCACCAAAGTGTGCCCGAATATGACGATGAAGGCTATCTTTTTGTGCATAGTTTTTGCGGCAAATTGTGCAAGTAAACTGTTTCTCTGGTGTATGAGTTCGGAAATGTTGCATTAGGTTTCCTTTTAAAGTGAATCGCCGTCCACAAACTTCACAAGCAAAGGGTCTCTCACCATTGTGAATTCTAAGATGACGTTTCAGATCACCATTTAGCATAAAGGCTTTTGGACAATAAGTGCAACGATATGGCCGGAATCCACGATGCACAAGCATGTGCCGTTGTAAACTACGGTTATCTGAAAAGGTTTTGCAGCATCTGTGACATGGAACTCCCTGGGGTATTATTTTTTTATTATTATCTGCTTTCAAACCAGACTGCACAAGTAGATGTCGTTCTTCTGTGTATAATTCTGGTTTAATTCCACTATGCACCATAACGGTAGTTGGTTGTGAAGGTTTGGAAACAGGTAAATTAGATGTTAGGGAGGTACTTGGAGTTTGTGATGCAAGTGAACAAGTATTCTGAGATAACTTCTGTAATTTTAATCCATGATTACTTGACATATTTATTGCAAAAGGTGCATTTTGTTGTGATTGATCTGAATGTCCAGGAATTTCATCACCATGAGACTCTAACTGACCTTCTGACTGAGATTCTTCAAGGCCTTTAGCCTTTGTTATAAGATTAATGGAAGTAAAATCTTGTTTGATGTCATTACTACATGGTGAACAAGTTTCTGTAGTTTGGGGTTTCTCAGGATGTGATGAACCTAAAATGTGTTTCCAGTAAGCTGAAGGAGCCAAACTTTTATATGTTTCTATCATATTTTGGCCAGGTCGAGAACTTGAAACACGTGTTATTTGTTCCACAACTTTGGCTGCTTGTCTCAAAAACTGCCTATGCATTTCATCATCCATATTTGGAGAAAAATTCAACATCTCACGGAGGGATGGTAAAGACTGAGGTGATCCTCTTTCTTGAAAAATATACTGTGATGTCTTGTCTGGGATGTTTCCTATGTCATGAGAAACTCTGTCATTACATGTAACTACATGTATATGTGAAGATGACTGTGATGCTGATGAATTTTCTTCATTCATATGTTTTACTGGTACTGAATGTGGATGAAGTCCTTGCTGAATATTCATTACTTCTGGTCTGGATGTCATTCCATAATTCATAATGATATCACTACAATCATTTGATACATTAATTTCATTTTGAATGCTTACAGCATGATTACGAGGAGAAACACTTAAGCTCAACATTTCTTTTGGCAGCTGTACATGCACTTCAGAAGAGTTATGTGATGAAGATATGTTAACTACTTGTGGATGAGAAAAAACATTATCACAGAAATTTCCTCCATTTTCTTTAACTTGATTATTACAGGTAGTTGTTATTGTCACTCTTTGATTCAATTCTTGGTTTGGAAACAAAATGTTTTCATTATTTACATTCATGACTGATTATCAGTATAAGAGAAATAAAATGTAATACTGATAAATATAACTTACTCTGTAATGATTAGTAACTTCAAGGATCATAAATTTAGCATTCACAACAGCACCACTGATGAGCTTGGTCTTTTTCTTTCTAACACATTTATGGTAAATGCCTTCTGTAAGAGAAAATGGACTTTTAAGTGTAAATATGTTAAAATATAGTTACACACTTCAAAGGTTACTCATTAACCATGATATTTGTATTTCACAATAAATAAACTTATATATATAAACTCAAACACATATCTGTTTTCTGAAAGAACATCAGAAAAGTATAACACAAAAACTTTTAACAAAACAAGAAAACGAGCAGTCCATCTAGACATTTTCTGAAGTGATATGTAGTCCATTATGTAGATTTATATACAGATATTTATACACATATCACATAAACTAATAAATATGCTATTATATTCAGTCAAAAGCCAACCCATCAAGACATTTCACCAGAATCACTCACCAGATCCAGTCGAATGGGAAGAGCTCTAATTCTCAATAGATTTTTTTGCCAGTAAACCTAAAGGGCATATATCTTTTTCACATGCAGTTAAGGAGTTATGTTTCACTGGCGTGTGTACTGATATATTCTACAGTAACAGCACAGGTAATAAATTCTGGTTTACAAGAATTTTAACTGACAAATTTTAGTTGAGCTGAACTTGGTCAGTGATTATTTATTTCGTGATGCCTGAAATTAAAAATGCAGAAATCTGACAGCCTGCAGACAGTAGTAATTTACTGAATGATAGCTACCAAAAATAGCTTTGGAAAGTAACCTGAGATGGTTACAAAATAATTTGAGCAGAAACTGGAGGCAGTATGTTGAAAGCTATTAATATATGTTGTAAGTAATGGAGAAAAACAAACTGCCTATATACATGTCTAAATAAATACATAACAACCCAGGGTGAGCAAGTCTGGTGGCAAAGGGAACTGAACCCACAACACTCAAATCATGAGACACCCAACCCCAACCATATGAATCACCATCCCTGTGGTCCATAGCTGAATAAACTTGTAAAAAAAATTATCACAACTTAAAATGCTAAATCAGGTTTCTATATCCCCAATTGGTAGAGTACAGACAGTCCATTATGTAGCTTTGCAGTTAACAGCAATCATAATGGCAATAAGTCTATTACTTGGATAGTTGAAATAATCGAAATTAGCAACAGCTGGAAATCCTAATTTCAGTTAGCTGACAATTTCCTTATATATTAATTGAATCATAATTTTGCTTAATCATTTAGTTTATGTGACTAATAAATGTACTTGCTGCTCATAGGTAATTGATTATATTGATTAATCAATGAAATCATCCAGTTCTACATTCATATATAATGCCTATAATGATGAAACATGATATTACATCACAATAAAAAATAACATTTTCCTACACTGAAAATGTACTGCCAACAGATTCTAGCCTCCTCTCACATAACAGCTTTTCTTGACTTTTACTGTCCTCTATATGCATAAATTTTCATTTGCCACTAGCCTTGACAGTCCCTACCCTCACGTTAGTCAGCTGCATGATAGCATGCAAATTAGAATATGACAACCCTCCATTAATAGGAGTGTAACAAAACTCCAAGGCCTGGCATGGCAATCTGCAGGTCATAGGTTCAAATCCCCATCCCACCAAATATGCTTGCCCTTTCAGTCATGAGGATGTTATCATGTGACAGTCAATCCCACTATTCATTGGTAAAATAGTAGCCCAAGGGTTGACAGTGGGTGGTGATGACTAGCTGCCCTCCCTCTACTCTTTTACTACTAAATTAGGGATGTCTAGTGCAACTCTTAGCACAGCTGATTCCCTCTATGCAGCTTAGCTCAACTGCACTTCAAGACTGAGAAAAAGAAAAAACACTGGAAGTAGGGAGGAACAGTGGGAAATGTGAATGGAGGTAAGAATCTAAAGGAAATACATTTTTAGTGTAGGAAAATGTTAACTTCCAATACAATATCTTACCTCCTCTCATATAACAGCTAAAATCCCACACTGGCCTGGAGGAAGGACAGGTGTAACATTACCCAGATGAGCTCCCTTTAGAAAATGCCCAAAGGAAGCCCGTAGGGTGTGAGAATAAAGAGTATGCAAGACACCTGTGTGAGACCAAACGACTTCTGAGCCAGATACACTCTTCACCCTAGAAATTGACGTGTCACAATAAGGAAGGAATCACAGGAGGAACCCCATAAATTAAATGATAGGACCCCAGGTGTAGAATGGCTAGGGCACAACAGACCATAATGGGGAGTTTGACCTCAACCAACACCAACAGTACTGTGATAGGAATTCTCGGCCCATGGTAGGATGATGGTCCTCTACTGTTCACCCCAGACACAGGAACTAGAAGGGAAGAAGATCTTCTGTGCTAACGACTTGCAGCATTACGTGTGCATGTTCAACACAACCAATACCAATACCCCTGGGGATCTGAAATCCAGACAATGGTAAGAAGGTAGACAGCATTATGGCAGTTCAACTCCAGTCCAGAACCAGGCGGCATTGGGAATGAATCGTCCAGTCCACAGTTGGAGGAGGGTACCTGGGCCGCTCATGTGGCTGGTCCAGCTCCAACCAACACCAGTAACCCCCGGGAGCTGACATACAGGCAAAGGTAGGAAGGATGGTTTCCAGCTGGAGGGGTGAACTGCGTTGTAGTCCATAAGCAGGCAGCATCTGGAAAAGAACATTAGGTCCATAGTAGGTGGAGTGTCTGTATACCATATTCACTAAGAGAACACCACCACCCTACTCTCGACAGAGTGGAATTGAGCACACTCAGGAGGAACCCCTATGGCCCACCACCCTAGCAGCTAGGAGCTGGTAAATGGTAAAAACTCCCATACTCCACACAAAGAATGGGAGAAGGGAATGCATTGGAAAGTATGGGGGAACACAACAGTAGAAACAGTGCAATGGGTGACTATGAAACCTTGTATTGAAAAGCAGACCATTTCTGATACAGCCAAACCAAAGACTGACAGTATTGGGTGGAAATCCCCTTCTGCTTTATTCATGTTATTCCACAAGTGTACAGTCCAAGGCAAACATATTTATGATGCAAAATATTGGAAGGAAAAACCTACAAGCAGTCTTGTGGAACACCCCATCTCAATGGTGGGTGTTATTGACCTTAATGGCTGTACATTGTGGGTTTAAGAATAAGTATACTTGGTCAAGCAACACTCACTACTGAGCAGGATCTGTATATGTGAAAAAGAACTGTTTAAAAAAGAGCACCTACCCACTTATAGAGAAACCATGGAGCAGGAAATGGTGAGATTATGCAGATAATGCAAAATAAATGTATGTGGAATGGTCCACATGCCAGCACGAACTATATCCTCTAAAGGACAATGGAATTGGGCAGCCAGAGATATGGTAAGGTGATGGATTTGATGGTAGGAGATTTGGAAGAGTCGAGAATCATCAGGAGAAAGGGAAGAATAAGCCAGATGAATCGCCTGGCAAATCCAACTTATAAGGGTAATAGGAGAAATATCATGGGAAATGGAAGAATTTCAATGAATAAACAAACAGGAACCACAGAAGGGAACAGTGTAAGCCACGTAATAGTGGAGAGCCCGGACTTGACATAAGGGACAATCTGGATCGGAATGAGGAAAAAGGTGAGTGATGGAAGGGAGGGAAATGGGAGTGATGGCATATTTGGTCTTATGTGCAGCCAAGGTTTTGGGCAGGAAAGAGTGATTTGGGTAGAGGATGACATAAGACTGGTGATATAATGTGACAGAGACATCCAGAATGAAGAAATCCAAACACTGATGTACCTTTGCAAAAAGGAGAAAGAAAGAAAAAGGTTTTTAAGGAGAGATAATATAAGGAATAGGGTGACATGGTCTTGAAGGGAGAAAGTGTGAGAGCATGGAGGTTCCAATCAGAGAGGGCGGTAAGATGCGAGAGATGTCAAGGGGAAGGAATGAAACAAAAAGGGGGACTGGAGAAGTGAAGACACGGCAAAATCTTGTGAAA